GTTTGATTGAACTGAAGACCTCGGCTCCCCATTCGTCAGTTGCAGAACAAATCTGTGTAAAAGTGCATGCCACGGGACTCAACAACAATTTCTTTCCATTGCAGGTGCAGTACGCGAAACTAGGTTAAGTCACACCACTCGAGCCTAACGTTAAAAATTCGGTCTGATTAAGAGAAAACATCTTCTCATAGAACGGAACAAAGTTTCAAGTCTCAGGCAATCATTGCAATGGAAAAAGTGGAGGTCGGCTAAATAGTTCAACCATGGGTTTTACATTTGACATTTCGTTATATTACACGAGTGCGCGGGGTAAGATAAAGGCAGGAACGGATCTGACTGAACTTCTAGGGAGTTACGACTCGTCAGTTGCCTCTGTTGCGAGTCCAGTTATGATCGCCCGGGGCTCGAAATTCGATTAAAATATCTATATACAGGTCAGTTGACTTGATAGGGCAGGGGACTAACAACCTTCTGTATTACAGGCGGCCTTGCGCTCATGTCCAGAGGTCAGGGTTGGGGTTAATGTTAGGACTGAGAGAGTTTGCGCCAGGATGGGGACTAAGACAGGAAAATGGAAATAAGTAACCCCCGGAATTCAGCGCAAGAGAACGTGCAGTACAAGGGTACACATTTCTGCTTCCAATCTTTGTATTTTTTAGCAGAAATCCAGGCCCCCATCCGAACACGACCAGTCTATTTGGAGACGCAGGGAAGATCTGCTCGTCCGCAAAATGAGAACCTTGGTCCGTTCACATGTGGCGGGCAGAAATGTAAGGCACACTGCCTCCCCACTTTGGTGACAGCTTGTGTGCGTGTACGTATGTCGCCACCCTTACCCCAGCCTGAGCTACTAAAGACATAAGTAAATGGAGCCCAATATACGTAGGCTAGACTACAATGCTTCTCTAGTTTCGTACTACTTTGGTCCTCATTCTACGGCCGCGGAAAGTAGCTTAGAGTAGGTGCTCAATCTCGACACGTCCTGACGAAATAATGTGCTCAGTCGTTTATGGAATACTTTAGAACCCCCTCCCCCCACCACAAACTTCCAGTTGGTTTTCTGACAGAGTTCGCTGCATTCCAAACCAAAGTCACTCTTTTACGAGTTTTGCGCCTGGTCATTGCATACATCTTCAACTATCTCACGTGCTTTATCTTGAGTCAAAATGCAACCCGAGTTGAATATATGGTCGGATCTTATTTCGTAGCCATACCTGCGGTAGACAAGGCCCAGCCTAACCCCTAGCTCCAACCGCTGACACTAACCCCTAACCCCTAACCCTAACCCCTAGCCTTGAACCCCTAAACTCCTAGCCCTGACTCATAACGCCAACCCTGACCCTAACCTCTAACAGGTACGGCTACGAAATAAGATCTTGCCGAATATATGAAAGGAGGAGTAGAATCTAGCACTGGCTGTTCAGCTTTGTCCGGTGGGCATTGAAGTTGTTTTGCCTTTCTTGTCATCAAAGCACTGAACCGACAAAAGTTTTTGTTGGGAGTGCCTACACTCCCAAAAACAAGAGCCAGCCAATCACGGGAGGCCACGTGCGTTTTCTCTACTGCGCTGTCATCTTAATCGTGGCGCCTCTCCATTGGCTTTTCCTCGCGGGCCTGATCGATCAGCATATTCGAATTATCGACCGGCTCGTCTCGAATGTTCTTCCCGATGGGCATTGGCCGAACGCCGGCGAGGCACCGTAGGGCGTTATAAATACGCGTTACTTCCAGTTGATTTTGACTTGCATTTTCCTAATACACAGTTTCGTGGCCGGTCGCGTTCTCCTTCTCTGCCGCGTTGGTATTGGGGACAAGGGCCGAGTCCGCATACGCTCCACAGGATTTCACGTACCAGGCGGGTCATAACAATTTGGCGACGCAGGTTTTCAACTACAATGGCTGACGAGTACGCTGACTTGAAGCAGATGTTGCAGCAGCAGCTGAAGCTGATGGAGGCTCTGACCGTCAAGCTATCCAATTCATCCATGGGCCAATCAAGCGCGGCTGGTGGTTCACAATCTGTTGATCACATTGCCGGCAGCATCCCTGAATTCCTGTATGACCCGCAGGCCCATATCACCTTTGATTCCTGGTACAAGCGATACGAGGACTTGTTCTCTGTCGATCTGGCTGCCCAGGACGATGCATGGAAGGTTCGACTCCTACTTCGCAAACTGGGTGCGGCTGAATACGAGCGTTATGCAAACTTCATCCTCCCCAAGAATCCCCGAGATGTCGCTTTCAAGGACACGGTTGAGACGTTGTCGCAGATTTTTGGTGATCAATCATCCCTTTCAACACTCGATTTCAGTGCCTGCAGCTGTGCAAACGCGATTCCGATGATTTTATCACGTATGCGGGCATTGTCAATCGTGAGTGTGGGCGTTTTCAACTCGGTTCTCTTACTGAAGACCAGTTTAAATGCCTTATATTTATCTGCGGCCTCCAGTCCCCCAAGGATGCTGATATCCGGACACGTCTCCTGTCCAAAGTGCAGTAGAGCAACTCTATCACACTCCAAGAGCTGGCAGCAGAGTGCCAAACGCTGATCAATCTCAGGCACGACTCTGCAATGATTCAGAACCCGGCCTCATCTTTCTCAGTCCATACGGTCACATCGACCAAATCGCATCCTGTTACACGG